GAGAGAGCTGGGCTTATTCAGCCTGGAGAAGAGAAGGCTCCAGAAAGACCTCAGAGCAGCTTCCACAGCCTAAAGGGGGACTACAAGAAACCTGCAGAGGGACTTTGTCCAAGAGCAAGCAGTGCTGGAATAGTTTGCCCAGACAAGATGCAGATGCCCTATTGGAAGTGTTCAAGGCCAGGTTTGATGGGTCTTTGAGCAACCTGGTCTAGTGGAAGGTGTCCCTGCCCAAGGCAGGGGGCTGGAACTGGATGATCTTTAGGTCTGTTTCAACCCAAACCATTCTGTGATTCTATAATTCTATTACTCCAATAAAATCTACTAGATAGTTATCTGCATTGGACACACGATAATACTTCCGTTAAATTACTACTAGTATTGGAAGTATGATTTTTTTAACTCTGGAAAACAAATTTAGTTCTACATGAAGTACTCAGAAGTTACCCAGTTGTAGGATTACAGAGAGAATTTGCCTCAAGCTATCCAAAGATAATGATCGCAGCCTTATTTATCTTTATTTCATAGTTAAACTATGAAAAATGAAACAGATTAACATTGTGAATGCTTTCTTTTTTGTTCTGTCTTAATTAAAAACAAAAATCTCAGATAAGCCCAAATCACTTTTTACATGAACAGTAGTAACTTCCTCTTAAATCCCTAGTCTAGTCTTTTAATATTCTGGTAAGTTTTAATGGACTCCATCATTATATGGGAAATGCAGTCTCTAGAGAGAACTTTTTGTCACACAATGAATACAAAACTCATGTTTGATTCCCTGACACTACAAAGTCATTTGAATTCCTATAATCTACTGTAAGTCCTAGCCCTCCAGTGCCACTTCTGTAAAATGTTCTGTTTGATTCTCAGGTAGATGACAGCTTTGGGCAATTTACAGGTAGAGTTGGTAGATGAAAGCAGAACTGTTACAAAATATGGTATGTGTAGTGCACTGCAGTTTCTGTCTCCGAAAAAAATGTTGATTATTTTTATCACCTTCTCTTTAGAGTACACACTAATGCAATATGTTTTGGAGCTTCAGTAGTACCTTTCTACCAGTGTTGCTGATAAAAATGTTCTTCCAGACAAATAAAGTTTCCTCTCTCTTCTCTGTTATTCCACTGTGTCTGCATTCAGTCTTGTTTCTGGAGACTTCTCAAGTCATGTGGATATTGTTTTGTAGTCATAGTTGCTCTTATACTTTGATCTTGTCTTTCTACGATTAATTTATTTTCTTAGAGCATGGAATCACTGACTATGACAGAAAGAATAGTAAGCAATTGTTCCTTTGGATTAGCATTGAAAAGTCCATAAAATTGTAGACTGGAACTCGAATATCAATAAAGCTCTGGTATTTCGGTGTACTTCCTTCCTCATCATGTCTCAGGCAATTAAAGTTTTATTGGTTTATCTTTTGCCAAAATTTAATAATTACAGATTAGGGAGAAAACCTTCCCAACTTATTATTTGAATTTTAAAATTTCTTCTGATATTAAAGCTACCAAATAAAACTTTGTCAGTTAAAATGATAGTGATGTTCATTGGATGTGCCATATTAACTAATATCTTATTAAGATGATGTATAGTTAACTCAGAACTGCCGTGGAGCAAAAATAATACACCTATTCTTCTAAATCAAGAGCAAAATAGTTCTTACAGAATCATAGAAAAATACTGGTTGGAGGGGACTTCAAGAAGTCCTTCTCAAAGCAAGGTCAGACCACATTGTTCAGGGCTTTAATCAGTCAAGGTTGAAAATCTCCAACAATGAAACTGCACAAACTTCTCTGGGAAGCCTGTTCCAATGCTTGACTGTCTTCATGGTGAAAAGTTTGCCCTTATACCCATTTGGAGCCTTTTCTGTTTCACGATTTGATAGGAAACTGATTTTAGACTTTGGATAGATAGCAGCATTACACATGAACTATCATACCGTTATTTATTCACACTAAGGAGCTACCTCAACATAAGTAATCAAGCTGTGACAGATGTCACCGAGTTTTATTATAAAATGTGGGTTTCCAGTTCTAAACTGAATAACTTAGCAGAAACAGCAGCTTCCAAAAATCTGTAAGTAGCTATAAGCATACCCTACAGTTCTACTGAGCACATCTGCCATGAGAAACTTGCCAAAAAAATCAATGGATCTGTCAAGAATGGAGAGCTGCTCTTTGAATCCTTTATTTATAACCAAACTAAGCATTGACCAAATTAAGCCTACCCGTGCTGGGATTTTCTTCTAGAACTAGGAAAAGACATGCAGCAGACCTTTAATAAGCCTCTGTCTGATCAGAAGTATTATGGCTTAGTGATGTACTAAGAAAGCAGTCCAGAGAAAAGTGCTTAAGATGAAGGAAGTCTCTGTTTTTTGAGAGCTATCATAGAACAAAATGAGGAATTTTCATCTGAGATACATACTTGTTATGCTATTCGATCAAACATTTCTTTCCCACATAAAAATATGAATAGACACTGTCAAATACAGAATATTTTGCAGAACTATTGAACATGACTTACCTAAATTGTTATGCAGCCAGACTGAAACACAAAAAATGGAAAATTAAAGACTTAGAAGTTTCGCTGTATTCTGAAATACAGCACTTTGGAATATGTACAAATAAAGGACAAACTGTTGTATGTGATCTGAGTACAAATGTTAGTTGCAGTAAAGATCAGCTTTGCTAACGCCTGTTTATTTTTGTCAATTCATTTAGCCTGAGAGAGACTGTGGGAACATCTAGGAAAACATGCCTCTTTCCATTCTATCAAAGTAAGTATAAAAGGATACGGTGCAGAATTTACATTTAGAGCATCCCTCAACTATCTATAAAGAAAGGTGTAATCTGGCTATATTCTAGTAATTGTAAATATTTTTTGTGAGATATAAAGAAAGCATTAGAGATCTAGCTGAAGGTGTAATGAGGACACGATTGACTAGTAATACTAAATGAATAACATACATAAAATAAAAAGAAAGGGCAGCTATCCAGATGTTTCTTAAGCTTCTAATATGAGTAAAGAAAATGGCCAAAACCAGGATAAGTCCATGGTCTCTGATGGTTGCTTTGTTCCCTATAAAAATTACTGTGTAAACACATTATTGACACCCTTGCTAAATATTTTCATGGACTGTCTTTTTGCAGACTGAATCCAAGGCAGAAAACTTCTGTCTGATGAAGTAGCACTTTCAGATGCAGAAAACTTTATAAAACCAAGTATTTACTATTCATGCTTATCTAAGAGTTGGTCAAAACCGTATACGACTAAAATAGGACTAATTGGTTTGACCTGAAGACAGGGGTTAGACAGAGCCCTAGTGTGACCAAATTTTTTATTATTTGCAGCCTAGAAGACCTCACAAGAAACAGTGTTAATAGAAACCTATGAGATGGAATTTGCACAGGGAGAGCCAAAAAAATAATTATATATACATATATATATACTTTGAGGTATTGAATGTGTTGGGTTATTGCAACACAATGCGGAGAACTTAAGGGAAAATATCAGGAAAACCAAACAAGCTAGGTCACAAGCCACAAAATGTCAAAAGTTGTTTTTGACATATAAAATACTGGCCCATTTTCTTGCCACTTCTGTCCCAGAAGGTAACTGAGAATTGAAATCAGTGGCTAAAATATAACACAGAATAATTTAATTTACATTCAAGTTAGCAATACAATACGCAGTAAGACTTCTGAGTAGTGTAAAAAATCAATCTGGTTTAGTTTTATGTGAAAGGTTTTACCATTTGTATGTGACACTTGCATATTGAAAAAAATGAGATATTGAAATCTGTTGTTTTCATATTGAAATGTTGTGTGTATTAGATATTATTAATGAGAAGAAAATCAACCATATTTGTCATAACAGGAGTCAAGCCTGATAAAATCAGAGCAGACAAAGAAAACTTGAGTTTGCAGAACTTGTGGGCTAGATTGGATAGATTGCGAAGGGAAGATGTGCAAGGGATGATGCCCACTGCAGAGGTTAGGGAACATGTGGTCGCTGTGGTTTGTAACAGCTGAGGGATGTAGTACCACATTTTACCAGGCTGTGCAACAACTGCAAGACATGCAGGATGGTTTGCAGTGTGTGGTTTCTTTGAGTTGTATTTACCATCTATTGTCATTTAATTCTAGAGTAATTTTGCAATCCAGTGCAAGTGTTCAGTAATTGAAAATGGTATAAGTAATTCAATGTTAAGTATAAGTTTTGTTTTATATATATGTCTATATATTTGTGTATATATATGTACATTACTTTATAGTGAGATACTGTGTTTGTTCATCAACATTTGCATGTGTTTTCTATGATAGGCTATGTGACTCTTCCAGAAGCCTGAAATCTGACCTGCCTTTAATGGATTTCATCCTAAATCTGACTTTTGTGTTTGGTAGGGTGGATAGATATTTCCTAAAAAAATATTAGAAAAAGTAACATTAGTTATCCTGTTGCCTCTGTAACTGGTCCAACTTTGGGATGATAAGCTTTTGTGGATACACTCATACTTATTTAATAGCTTGTCTATGTGGATAATATTTAATTAAACATGATAGGTATGGCATGCATTAAAGGTTTTATATACTAATATTCTCCCCATAAGCCTTCGCAGTGAAAAACACTTAAGAATTTATTTTATTGGGATTGCCAGCAAGAAAGGATACATGCATTTTAAGAATAACAGAAGAGATTAATCCACCATTCTCCTATAGTCCTCCAAATAGGATGGTGGATTCAGCCCCTGGTTTCAATGGTCAGGACTAGAGGAAATGCTTTTCCTTTGGGCATTGTAGGGCCCTCTTGAAGACTGGATGTTGAGTTGGAAGTAGCAGTTGTTAATCCCAACAGATTCATCAGCAGATTTATTGAACCATTTTCCATCTGAGAAAATGTTGATGTCTCTTAGCCTTAAAAAAAAAAAAAAAAAAGAAAAAAGAAAATAATAGCTGAAATTAAAAATTTGCCTAACCTGGAGAAGAACTAGCATTTTTCTTGAGGTGATATGCTGCATTTTTCACTCTGTGCTCTTGAATATGGTTGTAGATACATGTGGGTTCTCATGTATGGAAATAAGATTTACAGCCTTTTAAGGAACTAAGAGTTCTGTTATAAAACATAGTAAGTTGGAACCATGTCAGAATGTCAGATTTGGATTTATGTTTGGACAAACAACACTCAAATACGTATTACTCAGAACTTGGACACACCTCCCCATTCCCCCTCCTCCCCCTCCCCCAGAAGACAGACATGTTTATTTCTTCAGTTTTAAGGATTTATGGCTAAGACAGTCCTCTGGAAGTAAATTTTGAATGCCCTTAAAATTCTGCAGGGGTGTACTGATTCTGGCTGGGATGGCGTTAACTTTCCCCATTGCAGACCTTGTAATGCTGTGCTTTGTATCGGTAGCTGGAAAGGTGTTGATAACACACCGCTGTTCTGGCTGCTGCTCAGCAGTGCTCACATGACATCAACCCCGTCTCTCCAAACTGTCCTCCCTCCAAAGGCCAGTAGGCTGTGGGGTGGGCAAGAGGTGGAGAGGGGATACAGCCAGAGCTGACCCAAACTGACCAAAGGAATATTCCATAGCATATGACATCATGCTCAGTAATAAAAGCCACATTTGCCTTCCAGAGCAACCAGTACACTTGCTGAAACCCAGCTTACTAGGAAGTGGTGGGGCATCACCTGCTGATGGGAAATAGAGATTAAAGTCTTATTGTTTTCCTTTGCTTCTGTGCTTCAGGTCTTTGCTTTTTATTTATTAAACTGCTTTTATCTCAAACCAGAATTTCTTATTCACCTTATTTTCTCTCCCTCTGTCCTGCAGAGGAAAGGGAGTGATAAGGCAGCATGGCAGGCACCTAGTGATCAGCCATGGTCAACCTGCCACAATGGTTAAACATAGATCTAGTAAGTGCATGCTGAAAAGAGAAAATTATGCCCTTAATGTCATATCTCATCACAATCAGGATATTAGAGAAAAGAGGGCAATCCTTTCCTTTCTTGGCCCCCACAAAACTCCTTATCTCCCTCTGGGAATCACAGAAAGCAGAACTTCATATTTTTCAAGTTACCTACTAGCCAAAACTATTTCTAGAACACAACTTCATCTCCTCCCTACTCTCAAGGCAGAATCCCAGGCCAAAACATGTTTTCTCTTTTAGCAGCTTGGTTACATAGGATAAATGAACTTCTCTATAGTCCTACATTCTCATGTGGGATTCCCTTTATACACAACTTAGTTTTTACAGTTCTTTAGGGCTTCTACACACTTGTACATTTTTAAGTACTTGAAGTCACTGCTAAGAGGAAATGTGTCTAAGCCTTATCTGTACAATGACTTGGAGTTGAAAAGCTGTTAAAAATGTGATAAAGCCTCATGTAAAAATCTACCCTCATAGTCATTCCAGGACAATTTTTACCCTTTCTAGATATCTGAATAGTTCAGTAAGCATCATTAAGAGGGAGGAGATCCCTTATGTAAAACAAATCCATGGCAGATCAATCATTAGGTAAGGATTAACATTTGCCATCCACCTTTGAATTGTGTAAGCATATAATTTTTCTTCTGTTCAAATGCAGCCAGACCAATTGAAGGAAATAAACCTTTCACTCAGCTTTTCAGCTTGCCATATTAATCATCTCTTAATTTTATAACAGAGGCTCTCAAATTCATCTTCACAGTTCGGTTTTGTTTCTTATATGTAAATTTAGTATTCGTCATATACCCAGGGTTGTTTGGAAATGATCCCCAAAATGATGCCACAAAAGCTTTCTAACGTACTCATCCTCTTTGTGGCCTTAGGGCTGTCAAGTTCTTAACTTTCAGAGCCACCTAAGTAGAGTTATTGCTAGTTCATGTAAGTTCTGTGAATTGCTGTGCCCCATGAAAAGATGAGCAGCGGACCAAACCTTCAAAATTCTTCATATGTGTCAGTCTACACAGCAAAGAGGAACATCACAGAAATATCCAGGCTCCCATGGAGCAGTCTCATTCAGTCAGTGCTAGAGGGCTGCACACATCTCTGTGGAATTACATCCAAGGAAATTAGTTTGGCTGAGAAATGACATGCCACGGCCAAGGCAGAATATCACATTAGAACAACTATGCCATTTCCTCTTAGTGACAATGTGTTTTTAGAGTTAGCTTAGATGTCTTCATATAGTTTTGTGTTGCAGTACTTAAACATATCCTCTAATAAAAGGCTTCATAAATAATACCTTTGCTTTATATAACTATATTTCAGGTGCTAACATGTCATCTTTGGTTATCTTACATTTTAGCAGTAGCATCTGCAAAGCCCTGAAGGCAAGTGAGATTGCGAATATAAATATTAACACTCATGATGATTCAGGTGTTATATTTCTTCAAGGCTTCATGCAAGTGGTAGTCTCTGTCAAGCTACATTGTGCTGTTAGGCATGGATGATGGATTGGCTTAAAATATCTCTGTATTATAAAATGTAGACATCTGTGGGGTTTGCATAAGTATACAGGGAACATGCTGTAGGAAGGTTTTCATGAGGAGAAAAAACCTGCAACAGTTTTCTTGATATTCTTGTGATTTTTTTGTTATTCTTTTGAAAATAGCACCTTTCATATTATTAATACTAATAGTACCTTTGAAAAGCATAACCCTGAATTGTCCCTATGAGTTTGAAAACATAGGAGTAGATTTTAAAGAAAATCCCACTGAAATTAATCCTCTAGACAAGAGTGACAGTCTCCCTTTCAGACCTTGTATGTACAAGTTGCAGAACAGCTGCTTATTGGTGGTATTTTAAGGAGTCCACTAGCTGTTTTGTAGTGAATTGGGCTGCATATGAAAAACAGTAGAAAGAGATATTAAAGAACTAATTTCACTGAGGTCCAGGTACAAATCCCATTGAAATAAATGAAACTTCAATACTTGCTGTATGTATTATTTTATTATGCTCAGATGTGTTTCTTGAGCAAAATCTAATACAGAAATACCTCACATTTAATTTATTTTGAATATCATAGGGCTCTTTGCAACATGGACTGTGTATTCAGGAAACAAGAAGTACAGCTGTCAGTATGAAAATGCTACAAAAGAAAACAAAATCTCTTCTACTACATTGTAGTCTATAACTAAAAAGTCAAACAACCTTAATGCTTTTCTTCCATCTCCTTTTTCCTTACCTCTGAATACTACTCCAGCTTTAAATCTTTGCAGGGCTTGCTCTGGAGATACAATTTTGTCACTAGCAATGCTTTTTGCGCACATCCTGCTAACAAAGAAATGCTTTGATCCACACAGATGGCAACAGGCTTTATTCTTGTCTTCTGTAAATCCAATAAATTCCAAGTCTGCAAGTAGTAATAAATTAAAGGCACATTTTAGTGTTTACATAGGGAAGCTGTTGTGTTTAGAGAATGAGATTAACCAGAGTGGTCAGAGAAAACTCTGAATAACAAATTCCATGCTCCCAGTAAAGGCCTATATGACATGAAAATCATGGTCTGCCCAAAACAGGGCTGTATTTCTCAGATTCATTAGGTTCTCTCTCTAAGAGTTCTAACTTTCCTTTGTTCATAGTATTCAAAATTTATAAATGCAAAAAAGTAACCCAAAATATTTTATTGTATAAAGAAAGAAGATATCAATACATGCCTCAGGACTCTCACCTTTCAGGTTTCCAGGACTTTTACTCTATTGAAAGAAAGAGAACTTACTGCAAAACTAAGGAACAGATTTCAGGAGCACAGAACATCATACACATGTAAGGATAATATGGAGTGGTGGGGAATATTAGATTAAAACCAGTATCTAACATCCTGTCTCTGGAAGAGGAGGATATAGGATCTGTATCTGAAAGGGAGCAAAGCTTTGCTTGTTTTGTAAACTCTTCTGTGTTGAGTCAAGCTAATTCAATGCTTTCAGTTGCATGGATTTAACATCCTCAGGATACTGAGTCATCTCATGGACCTCTGGGATCTCACTACAAGAAGATATGGCGCAACACAAGCAGGTCATAAGAGTGTGTATTTCCCATAATGTGTTCTTAGAGTGCCTTGATCATGCCATATAAGAAAGACATCTTGTTACAGCACCAAGATGAACATTCAGAGCAGATATATGTACATACTTAAAGGCTCACTCTTCCTCTTCCGTCCTTCCTAAAGGTTACATAACAAGTTCTGTTAAACCAATTTGGAATACCTTATGTTATTTAAGATGTTTTCTGATTTAACAGTACCAACAAAGCTGAATTATTTTCTCTTCTTTAGCGGATGTCCCTAATTAATTAGCAATGGTTAGTTGTCAGATGGGATATTCTGTCCAGGAATTCTTCATAATGCATCAAAATAGTTGCTGTACTAATAGACCCACTTTAAACATTTGTTTGTAGTTTTGAACATGCCCACTAAACCTGAGGGTCATGCAGAAAACTTCTGTACAAAAGCAGACAGGGTAATCTGAATTATTGAACTTAATTACTGTTATTTGATTAATGAAAAGGAATCATTCTACCATAATTTCCAGAAATAATGGTAAAAAATTAACTGGTAAATAGCCAATATGCTAATTCATTATAGACTATTCCTGAGAAGAATTTTTTTTGCCTAAAATTGCCTATCTGTCAGGATTTGATCATGTTCTGCCTCGGAAAGAAGTGGACAACAATTTATCTTGGTAACAATTGTGGATAATCACTTGTACCTACTGATAGCAAGCCTAGAGGAAGGATTTTTTTTTTCAATAGGAAGGCACAATTAATTGAGACAAAAATTGTTTCAGTGCTGGGTCAACCTGATCACAGAAAAATAACACTTGAAAGATGTATAAAATTGCACAGTGCTGAGCCTTTGGAGAACCCAAGGAAAGTGGTGTTAATCTGAGTTGTTTTCAGTTTTTCAAATAAAAATGAATCTCCTCAAAAGATGTAAGCTTGGGTTATGTACTCTACATTTCTTAGCAATTAGGAAAAATCAGCTACTTACACCACCTTAGCACGTCTGACACTGGTTCTTGGTTCCACAGTTAGCTTGGTCCCACTTCTGGCAACCTGACACAGTCAAGCGCAAACAGATGTTTCACAGCAGTGGAAGCCTGTTCAAAACTACTTGGCCGCATCACTGAGAGGTTCTGCCCAACCTAATTAGCTGTGATGAGAAGAAATCATTATTTTATTTGTGTCACATGTTGTTCATTAGTATATAAAGACTTTGGCTTTGAAAGAATAAATTGTCATCAGAAGTGCACAAGGTGTAGAAAAGTGCTTTATGAGAATCTGATCCATAAAATTACATTGCCTGGAATGGCAAATGCTATGGGCCAGATGTGCAGCCACAACTAAATACTCTTAGTGTTAAGTGTACTGTTCTGTGTTTAGCTTCTGAGCCCTCACTTAAGACAAAACCCGTAACAGGAGAATGTTCCATGCAACCATTTAGATTATAAATTAACCTGTAAATAAGTTGCTGTCATTTCTTTCTATATACTTTTGTTTTCTAATAAGTAAGAAATCAGACAATTCTAAGTGCACAAGAAAGACACATCCTGGTTACATGAACATAATTGTTTTCCTTTTTTGGTATATTTTAACTATAAGTAACTAAGATATTTTGTGTTGATGTGACTGCTTGTCTCCAGCTGTACTTCAGGATATAAACTGGCAGGCTCTGCCCCTTACTTACTATATATGCCTTATGACTATATGTCTTAGACAATAGTACTCATATATAAAAGAAGAATAGGATGGAAGGAAAAAGCTGTCTTGTAGCAATTTCTGATTGTCACCAACCTCTTCATCCATATTTGCCATTCACTCCACAGGATGTTATAATGCATTAGGTTTAGGTGGTCCTCTCTCAGCTCTGCCCCATCAGCCTGTTCAGATCCTCAAATTCTGTCAAATGCTGACCCTCCTCCAAACTTCTAGAGCTAGACTAATGAAGTTGTTACTGATTACTTTCCTAGTATGCAGCTGAGGAACACTAGTGACAGATCAGTACTGACTGTTTAAATACTGGATAAATACAGGAAAAAATATTGGCAACTTCTGAAGGCAGTGCCTATAAGCACAGGAGTAGAGATGTCAGATCAACACTGACAAACGGGTGGTGATGTAGGCATCAATGCAAAGGAGAATTTTAAAAAGGAAAGTAAAGAGGAACAAGAAAGTAGCTTTGTGCATATTTACAGAGATCCCAAGCTGGTCTTACTGTGCTGAATGAAGGCAAGAATTGATCTTCTAAGGTTAAAGGAGACATGATAAGAGGAAGGTATAGGTAATTGGGATCCTGACATAAGCTTTTTTATTGTTATATAAATAGATGACTTTCATAGAAAAAGGAGAGGGAGCAGATAGAAGGAAACAGAGATGTGAGAAGTACAGAGCAGTAGACTAAGGAAATTACTTTTGAATTAGAATTTTGCTACTTTCCTTTTGAACAACACAGGACTTTTTGTCATGGACAAAGAGGTCACTGAGACGACTAAAAATGGCATTTTTCCCCAAAGTGTATCCTCTGGGTATATGTCCCTTGATTCCATGGGATCATTTATAAGGTCCTACCAAATGTTCTGCATGATACTCCTTCTCAAAAAAAGGGTCTCTCTAGGACAGTGTTAGCTTGATCACACTTCTTCTAGACCTCTTCTTAAGTAAACCATCTGATCACAGGATTAACTCTACAGAGGGGGTTGCCATCCCAGTGTCTTTAACAAGAATTTTGTAGCAGAATTATTAGTTTCCTAATTCCCTTTGGGATACACAATATATATTGTACACCAAACATTTGATTTTGTATATAAAATATTTTGTCATCAAATATTACAGAGTCATCTCCAACAATTTGTCACTAATTTAGCTTTTTTAACTCAATGAGCCTTCCTGTCTTCCTAACAGGGCTCCATGTTGTTACTGGGAGAAGTCAATGTATTTGAAGTTTTACTTTGTTCTATGGAGAAGCTTTCCTAAGAAAATAATATCTCACTTGGGACACCTTCTGCAAACCATTTTCTGAACCATATTTTTTCCAATACTAATGTTAAAACCATTACATCTTATAGATATAGTGAAAGTCAAATCATCCATCCACTCAAAGTATCAAAATTAACAGTAACCTGTGTCTCACTGGGTAACTTCCCAGCCAGCAGCACAATCAAGCTGAAGCAATATTTTGCCATTCCTCTAGAGATATGCTGTGTGTGACTTGAAGTAAGAATATGACTAGTATATGATCAAAGGCATTTTATTATCAGATATCACCACAGGGATATTGCAAGAGATACCGGTCTGGTCCACATAATTAGTCTTTAAAGCATTTCAAAAGGGCAAAATCTAATAATCAGGTGATTGACATTTGGTATTATGTCTGCTGCAAAGAAAGATAACTAAATACTAGACATACCATTTGTTAATGCTGTGTTTCCACTATTTTCTTATTTCTTATACTTTTATTATTCTATACTGTGTTCTACCATTTCTACCTTGTCAGAAGTAAATATGGAGATAAAAAATGCAATCAAACACACTTATGCAACATTGGGTTGAATGCAGCAAAGTCTTTTAAAGCTGTTAGATGTTCTAATGCCTGTTTCTCAAGCAATTACTGTGATGAGACTCTGCATTAATGAGACTTCTGTGACAGTAATTAAAAAAAAATTTCTTTATCATGTAATCCCCATTTCATCAGCACTTTAATGCTGACAGAAATTTAACCCTACAAAGTACTGTAAGTCTGAATATGAGAAAGAACTACCAGTAAAATGTTAAATTTTGATAAGGATAATATTTTCGTTGAAATCCGTGTGCAATGTGAAATCCATTGTTGCAAAATTGAAAACCTTCTTGAACATTTTTCCACTCACACTTAAAACAAAAAAGGGAAAATCTCAGAAGATATTAATTTAGCACAGTTAGCTGCCACAGTGGCCAATTCTAAGTACTTTTCCCCTGACACTTAAATTTTCTCTAATTTTCCTGTTCAGCTGAAACCAACAGCTAGATTGCTTTAGAAATCACTTAATAAGCAGTCAGCCAGTGTTTTTTTTTGTTTCATATAAACTCTGTCATTTCAACTTTTGACTAAACTGAACAGAATGAAAGTGTGATTTTGCAGAATTCAGGATAAAAATAGCCCTATTTATCCAAATTCTAAGTGTCTGAGACTGGTTGAATAATAGATCTTTCATCGTTGTAAGTTGTTCTAAACAAATAATAACTATAGTGCCTGAACTAAGAAGAATTTAGGAGTTACATGCACTTCAGGTATGCAGAAGACAAAAAGAGTTAAACGTAGGGAGAATATGCACCCATTGCTACATGATCCATTTGATATATAGAAAAGGCAAGAAGGAGGATTTGGGGAACCAGAAGCTGGTCAGCCTTACCTCAATACAAGGAAGGGAATAGAGATAAATCGTCCTGGAAATCATTTCCTAACATGAGGGACAGAAAGGTAATGGGGACTAGCCATCATACAGTTATGAAGGGGAATCCATGCCTGAGTGATCTGATAGATTTCTGTGATGAGTGGCTTGGTGGATGAGGGCAGGACAGTGGAAGTTGTTTATCTCAACTTTAGCAATGCTTTTGACCCTGTGTCCATTAACATCCCTATAGAAAAAATGGTAAAATACAGGCTAGGTAAAAGGTCATTGAGGTGGACTGAAAACTGACTGAACTGCTGGGATCATAGGATTGTTATCAGCAGTGACTGAAAACAGTGACTAACGGTGCACCCCAGGAATCAATACTGGGACAAATTGTTTTCAACACGTTGGACAGAGCCTTGGGTGGCATGGTTTAATGTGAGGTGTCCTGCCCATGGCAGGGGGGTTGGAACTTGATGATCTTAAGGTCCTTTCCAACCCTAACTATTCTATGATTCATGTCTATCATACCACGATGGGACGGAGCGTACTCAGCAGATTTGCAGATAGCACAAATCTAGGAGCAGAGGCTAATTTAACAGTGGGTCACGCTGCCCTCCAGAGGGACTTGGGCAGGCTGGAGAAATGGACCAACAGTAACCCCATTCAGTTCAACAAGGTCAAGTGCTAAATTCTGCTCCCTCGGAAGGAGTACAAACCGGGGCAAGTAAGCTAGAAACAGCTCTAACAGTGAACGAATTTGGTGTCCTTGTGGACAACAAACAAACCATGAGCCAGCAGTGTGCCCTTGCAGGAGAGAATGTCAAAAGCCTCATGGCCCACATTAGGATGAGTTTGACAGGAGATCAAGGGAGGTGATCCTTCCCCTCTAGTCAGTCCTGGTAAGGCCACATCTGAATCCCATGCTGAGTTCCCCAGTACAAGAAAGATATGGACCTACTTGAGTGAATGTGATTCAGGGTGATGAAGATGAGCAAGGGATTGGAGCATCTGACAAGAGGAGAGGCTGAGATTACTGTGAGTGGTCAACCTTGGGAAGAGAAGGCTCAAAAGTATATTATATGTGTATACTAACATGAGAGGAGGGAATGAAGAAGAGTGAGCCACTGACTACACTCAGTGGTGCCCACTGATAGGATGAGAGATAATGGACACATTAAAACATATGAAATTCCATCCAAAGGCACGGAAACACTTTTTTACTATGCAGATGGCCTCAAAGAGGTTATGGAGCCTCCGTCCTTAGAGATATTCAAAACTGGACTGGACACAGTCCTTGGACAACCTGCTCTAGCTGACCCTGACTGAGCAGAGGGATTAGACTTGATGAACTCCAGATGTTCTTTCCACCCTCAACCATTCTGTAATTCTATGATTTTCTCATTCTGTATGTCAAACTCATCTTAATCTTTATTTTCAACGGTGTTTAAAATTCTTTGAAAAATATCTTCTGGCATTATGACTGGTGTGGGAAGTTTAAAACTGGAGAAATGTTCTGGCAGCAACCTTCATTTGCTTGTTTATAGTAGCTAGTATTTTGTTTATTTTCCCTATTTCTCTTTAATTCCCAGCTTGGTAAAAAAAAAAAAGAATAATAATTGCAATTTAGTGTATTTAGATTTTAAGGTTACTAAGATTTCCTTTGACTCTGATATGCCTATAGAAATACTGGAAAAAATGGTTAAAATACTTCTACTAGGACTACATGACTAGGTTTTAAATGCTAAAGGTATGTTTATGTAAAGTTGTTTATATTTCCTTATTTTGCAGAAAGGATTTATTCAATCTGTGGATATGCAATAACCTTGATTCAAACCACGCAACACCATGTTCTCTGGATGAACGGTGAATTCAAGTATAGAAAGTTGAAAAAAGAAGAATATGCATATCTGTGTATATATCTATCTGTGTGCATGTATATGCTTCACAGCAAGAAATGAGAAACTGAAGATCATGTGTATTTAATGCCTACAAATATTTGTAAATATTTAAGGTTACATTTTGCAGCACAACAGGAAGTTACATCTAGGCCAGTGACCAGGGAAGTTTCATCTTTTTGTTTAAAAGAAGCAGTGAGAAAGTTGAAATATGACTCTTTTCACACAATAAAAAACCAAAAATAAGATACAGGGGAAAAATATGATGATAACAGTACTTGAAAGGTTGGTTTATGGTCTGAGCAACCTACAAATACCTGTGTGATACAAACAAGTTGATTTGCTCATTACTGCTGAAATTACATACCATAACTATAAAACCAAATAGCACAATTAATGATTTTTGCTGTTTGGTGCACATGAAGAAAAAGAAAGATCAGTAAGTAATCTGGTAACCAGTACCAGCAAACCTACAGTAATACCATTGCAAATAACCAAAACATGTTTTATGCTGGAGAGCAAAAGAAGTCCTATTCGTAACATATATGGGAACTTCTTCAAAGGAGCAATAACGTGTTCTACCAATAACCTTAGTCTACTATACCATTAGCTCATAATCTAACATGAAAGTCATATGCAGTTACATTTCACTTAGTTATCCCCCTTTGGGTGAAGTAATTTGTATTTCACTAAGCCATGCTAGTGTACAGTAAAACTGATTTTTCAGAGACTCATGCTATGTAGACTTGAAAACACAACTTGGACAAGTTTTTTACTGAAACTGCTGAAAACATATATTTTGTTCTCATTTGGATTTCTGCTGAGCTTTCAGACACTGGCTTTTGTTATGCCTTCATTAATAAAATAAAAAAAGCCAAACAATTTCAATATTTTTTTCCTCTCTCCAAGGTATTTGCACACAGTAAGCTTTCAATCTCCTCTGAAAAACTGGGCAGACTGAGCTTTTTATTACCCTTACCATTATTTTTTTTTTTTTAGTACTTGGATTGTTTTTATGTCTGCACCTTCCCTAAATCAGATGTTTTAACAGCCCTTAAAGTACAGGCTGAAGCTGGAATAGTATCTCAGCAATTCAATAAGGATATGTACAGATGTAAAATACACTTTATTTATGCTATGGAGGAGTGCATAATAAAGACATATTTTCCATGAAAGTGTACTTTCAGGAATTAGGCAGCAGGTTATAATTGTTATAATCCTAAATTTGGTCTGGTATATATGTAATGGTATCTCTCAGAGCTGAGCACCAGCAATAGTCAAAGCCTGTCTGTCACACAAAAAGTCTTGGCAGAATAATCACTTTAGTTACATGGTCTCCACCTGCTTTCTGATATTAAATCACAATAAACCTAGAAGTCCAGTGTAACTAACCTAAATCCTGTGCAGTTTGAAAAATTACATTTGGAAAAAAGTGAGGATCAGAGAAGATAATTGTTGGGACTGAAAAAGGAGGTGTAACAGAACTAAAGCTTACAGGGAATGCTGTGGATCTGTGAAGCTTGGACATCTGTGTGGAATTGTCTGGATAATGGGGATTCTCAAAAGAAAGAGATTTTCTTGACTCCTGAAAGACAAAAACTACCAGGTGGGAGGTCACTTTTTTTTTTTTTACAGAAGATCCAATAGCTATTTGAACCAGTTTTTCCAGGAAACAGAAAATATTACTATAAAATGTAGCTTTGCTACGTCTAAACACAGCACACGTGTATCAACTGGCAAGAACTCACCCATGACCCCATCCTAAATATTGCTCCTCAGAACCTAAGAAATGAAGGCAGAGTTGTTTACATAGAATCCCAACCAATCCCACTGAAATAATATTGAGTGTTCCACCTAACAGGAACCTTCTTTCCCACCAGTCATGAAACTGCTGGCTCATCTCCGCTGCTTTCTGCTTTTTTACATTGTGTCTGGTGGAGAGAGCAGGGGGAACTCCAGAAAAAAAAATCAGTTGATTTTTTTCTTTCAAGTTGAAATTTATAGTTGGATAATTTCATATAATAATTTATTCTAACTTATGTCATCATTAATGGAGACAAGCCAAAGGATTTCACAATGATGCTTAATATATCCTTCCCTCCTTTGTTTCAGAGAAAGACCACCTAATGCAGAGTTGCAGACAATAAATGGAGGAACTTTCTGGATAGCCAATTCTTCTCCCTGCAGTTCTTATTCCATTGCTCCAGAGGCTATTGTCTTGGCAGTTCGCTGGTTTAGAGACCCTTATTACTGTAGTTCATCTGTGGGAACTAAGGGACTGACTCAGCAGCGCTTTTCAATTCTGGTGTTGTTTTGTGGCTTGATGACTCCTAAGTCATACCTGGAGGTTTTCTAGTTTCCTTTTACTGCAAACAGAACATCAAAACATGGCTTAAGTCTTGGGTGATTCCTCCATTTCCTACCTTTTTTGCTGCTTGCTTAGGAGTACTTATTGTCTTGTGTCTTTAATCAGCTCTAGGAGTCTGCAATAACTTTTTTCTGAACTTGGTCCCCACATGTGGTGTGAGAAAATCCTGAATTTGCTAACCAGTGTCTTAAATTTGGTATTACTGTAACACAAAATAAGAAACCTCCACCAGGTAGTTATTTATAAGGGAAAACCTCAGATCTCCTGGGAAAAGGAGCCTGAAATTAAAGGTCTGAAACAAACCAGTACCCTGCCAGTTGTGCTCTTGTAAGGACACATCCGTTTCTTCAGCCTTGCTGCTCTTTCCAGCAAGTTCCTGTAGCTTCCTTGGTTTCCACAAACTGCACACAGTTCTTTCTGGGTCTCCTGCTTTCTTTTGGTTCTGAGTCTTGACTTTGGAACTACTTCTTGCTTCAGAAGGGCCCCTTGCTCCTTTCATGAGGAAAACTCCTGGTTATCTCAATGCTTCATGCTCCCATTCTACTCTGTCCTTGGATGCTCTATACTGCTGCCCAAGGCTTCTCTGCACTTGGATATTCTCAGCTGCTTTCAGGAGAACGCACTCCTGTTACTTCCTCCTTTCTAGAGGAGGAGGCACCAAAAAGCATGTCAGGCAGGTCATGGAGCTTCTCCCTTGCCCAGCCACAGTCCTGTTACAAAACACACAATTTGCATTTATGTGACACAGGTTTACAGCAGTTGCCACGCTCATGATTGGGTAAGGTTTCAGTCCCCCTGAAAACAAGATGTGAGAACAATAACAGTAGATTCTAATAGATACTGCTAAAGATTAATAGTTGCACAGACATAAAGGGACACAGTCATAAGGTCCAGAGTGCAAAGTAAACAAGAGGTGTAAGGGTTAATATTAACTCAGATGAGAAACTTTTTCCTGAGGCAGGATAGGCAGCTATTATCTTAATTTGATCATGCGCTTCATATTCTCTTTTTTTTTTTCACTTAAAAAATCAGATCCAGTCAGCCAATTAGTACAGGTGCAGCAGAGAAAGAAGGGGTTACACTGCTTTAGTAAGGGAAGAATGGGTTATAGAATAGCTGGATGAACTGCAAATATTTGAAGGCCTAACAGAGTCATCCAAATGTATTTAATAAAAGCAAGGAACTAGTGATCTAGATTAGTCCGTTTAATTTCAGCTCCAAAACAAACAAACCTACTGAAACAAAAAAAAAACTCCACAAATATTTTCTAAGCAAATAGAAAACAGCAGGGAGATAAGTACCAATCAAGATGGTATTCTCCAAATATGCTACTTTTTAAAAGAAAGTATTCCCCTTCTTTGACTAGATAGCAATTTTATTTTTTTTTTTTGCAAGGGGGGATTGGCACATATCAGTCTTGTCTGGTACTACTTAAAAGGCACTGTCATGAAGTAACTAGGGAAATGACAACTGGATTAAGCAGTTGCACAACTAATTGGAAATATATACCCAGAGGAGCAGTAATTTGTCTTCCACTGTCAGACTAGCAGCTAAATAAAATAAGTTTCTATGGGAATCTGCCCTGTACCTATGAGGGTTCAGCACTTCTGTTGGTGACTTGGATGAATGGTTGCATGGATTTTTGAGGCAAATTTAGAATTCAAGACAATCTTGAAAAATCTGACAAATGGTCTGATAAAAATATTCTGAATTTCAGTAAGACAAATACAAAAATCTATCTTTATAGAGAAATATTTGGCTGTATAAATATAGCTCAATGGAGGATGCACAAATACGTCAGCGCAAAATACACAGTTGTAGTAAATCATCTGCTGAAAATGAGGTAAATCTCTCCTATTGTTATAAAAGAGACAAAAGCCATACTTTAATAAATAAATCAAAGTATTTTCTGTGAATGCATGAAGTAGGTCTGTGCTATCTGGTGCTTCATGATCAAAGTTTAGAAAAATGATGTGCAGTGAATTCTTGAAAGCAACTGGTATATTAAATTCGGAGAGAAATCTATAGGAGAAAGCAGTAAAAAATAAACAAAATAAAGAGATTTTAAAAAATGTAAATTACAGTAACAGTAGACACCACAAAAAGGTCCCCAGAAAAAAAATAAGTGTGAGCTGCAGGAAAGTTCACCTTGGGTTGTTCATTTTTCGTGACTTCAAGATATTAAAGGGAAGTCAGACAAGTGTTTGGCATATCAGATTTTATCTTGGGCTGGGGAAGAAGACGTCCATGAAAGTGAAGAATAATTAGAGAACTGCACTGTTTTCTTTTCCCACCCACTCCATCAATAATAAGTTGGGCTGGAAAATCTGTTTGCAAGTATTGTGGCTTCTCACTAATTGAATCCATTTTGTGCGATAATCATAGAATCAGCTAGGTTGGAAAAGACCTATAAGATCATAAAGTCCAACAATTACCGCGTTGTGGACTTTCCCACACCTCCCCTATCCCTGAAAGCTTGTTTTGAAATACTCTGCAGACACTTAATTTGAAGATTGAGAGGGGAAGCAGTTTTCTAAGTACAGCATATCATCTACTATATGGAAGGATTTATATACACAACAGACTGCAATGTCTACTTAAAAATTTGTCATAGTTGATTCTTGTTCTTAGAGCTCTGGTTTGACTACTTAAAGGATGCTTTCAGATAAACATGGAATAAACAGGAAGTCAGTCTCAAAGGAGACTGTCTGAAGTCACCAGGCTCCAGCTAACCACTCTAGCAAATAATAACACTGAAAAAGCAGGCAAATTTATAATAATTTTAACTTCAAAGATAGTTTTCTGAGTATCTAACTTTTTTTGCCTGTTATAATTCCTATTGCTTTTAACATAAATTAGGTGCAGTTAATTAAGCTAACTCAATGAGCAGATAACAGTTAGGTCAGCTGGAACTGGTCAACCAAAAAATGCAACTGTTTCTGATTTGATTAAAAAATCTCACTGCTGTAAGCCAGCTAAAGCTGAACAAAAAATATCTAGCAATGAAAATGAGATAATAATTTTTTTAGGGGCAAAAAAATGATATATGAAAAGGACTGGATTTCGGAAAACAAGGTTTTGTAACATAATGGGCAAATCAGGGTTGTATTGCTATTGGTCATACATTCAGGCCTGGTTCTGCTGTCTTCCTTTTATGAGTTTTGGCCATTCTAATAAATCTGTTTGAAATAAAAAATACTTTCAGTTGAATGGTGACTCATATTCCAGCAAGTTTTCTGTTTTATAATACCACACTGAAGCCCTTCACAGCCTGTTTATTTGTTATTAACAGTTATTTTTGTAAACAATTTTACTGGAGAATATCATTAATTAAGCCAACAGGGCATAACTGTCATTGTTTTATTACTAATTAGATCATATGTGTCCCTAGAGAATATCTTTTGATCTCATCTTTCCCTAAAAAACAAGATACAGTTTCATTCTCAAAATTCTCTCATGTATGATCAAACTTTAACTCCTCTAGGTGCAATAAGAACTGAAAACTAATATTTAGCATAAATTTTAAAGAACAGCTTCTTGTAATATCAGGGAAGCAATAAAAGAATACTGCTATGAAGCAACCTATGTACCATTCTTCTACTTAAAAGCACCCATGGGGCTTGTTAAATAATAATATATTATTAAGCATGCATCATACTGATTCCCAGTAGAGACAATTACCCTTTTGTTTCCAGCAGAAAGCAAATTATTCTGTGTGGTGATGAGTCTAATGCCTTAGTTATGTTCCCATGTCTGATACAATTCTGGAATAATTCAGTTTGCAGCAGAAGTTAGGAAAAGTAAGAATATCTTTGGCATGACACTACAGTCACTGATTGTGAAGCAAAGGCTTCCTGACCTGCTTCATTGACAGCAGTCAAAATCACAGACAGCTTTATCACATCTTGTACTTTATTTTTCTGTTCTATTGTCTCTTCATCTCATTTTTCATACTAATATTTTTGATCAATTTCCATGTTCTATTTCTTGAAAATAAAAAGAGCTGGGATTTTATTTAACAATATTAGCAAAACCAGGGATATCCTGCAATCAGATTAACTTTGAAACCACAGGTGGGGTACACATTTTTCTGACCTACTGTCTCCTTGTCAGCTGGAGCTATATATAGGTTCTTTTACTGTTACATGGGTTTTGGTCTTGTGGCATGTGCAGTCACAGTCCCAGAAGGGAAGAAAGGCACCCAAGAGAAACAACTGTTTCCTACACGAGGAGACAAACCTTGGCTGACTGTTTTCTTGTCTTTGCTAGGAAGTACCCTTGACTGGGATTTCCTCAAACACATCTGAGGGAGCTGTTCAGCTTTGCAGGCAAAATATTCATTGAATCAGAGAAAAAAAATAGTTTTTTTTGATACTAAAAATATTAATTGGAGCAGAATTTGTAATCAAGTTCTTCTTCCCAGGTGAATGCCCTTAGGTTTTCACTGTTTCTTACATTCTTTTGTCTCATGAATATTTAATTCTACTGTGTAAAGTGGAGTATCTTACACAGGTGTTAATGAGAAATTTAGTTCTTGAACATATAACCACAATTTTCACTCAAGATAGTAGGTGCAATCCAAGCAAAAGGTTCCCTCAGAGGTGGGTGTTATGAAAGTACATAAGATGAAAATGAAAATTTGAATAGTTAAATCCACAGAGCAGTGAGGTAAAGGAGTAGGAAGCAGCTCTTGGCAGGGCAGAGGAAAGTAAAGAAGCAGAGATAGCCACTCTAGCATGATAGTGGATGGGGCACAGGGAGCTACCAGTTTTTTTATGTGATGATTGGCTGCAAAAGGCTTGGGAATTGTTTGGTGATTTCTCTGGGAGACAGTGATTGACGTGCAGCAGAGAAAGGAGCAGATCTTTAATCTCTTGCATCCCAAGCAATCCTGAAGTTACTGGATGTACTTTCTCCCATTGCAATCTGTTAGATTGCAGTGAGACTGCCTATAGGATGCACAAGGCAGAATACAAACATCCTGTCTCTGAATTCTGACTAGGCTTATGCATAAGACAGCTGTCTAGCAGGTGAAATACATTACTCCTGGTCATATTCAGAGGCTGGACTTCAGTGTTGTTATTTGCAAAAACTGTCTGCCTTTCATATTTTAGTGCCTTGAGAATTGAGCAATAACTGATATGTGATTTAGAGGGGTTTGACCTGGGTGTTTACTTCCAATTTTTGCCATTTATATCTTTTGTGGATATAATCCTGAGTCTAGGCTTTAAGTGTGTTTTCCTTTGCTCCAACAGCTCTGTCTGTATGCCTGTAATATGTCTTTAAGAGGAATACCAAATGTGAACAGCTTTGAAGCATTGCACATGAGAGTTTTTGATAAATGGCAATTAATTAAACTATTTATAAGCCAAAGTACAATGAAAACAAAAACATACCTGGCTTGTTATATAATTATTTTGTTGCAATATTTATAGGGTAGAAAATCCAGAAACATGAAATCTTTTGAAAGGATGATTGTTATACCAGAAAGGGACACATCACTTGCTTCGGCAACATTGTGTTCTGGCATGTACTGATCATGCTGAATATCTTTAGCAACCATAATATTTTGCAGAGCTTTGATAAGACAAACACCATTACTCCATAAAGAAGCTTATTTTCCACCCTCTAAAACATTTCTTTCCAAAATATTACAAATACAAGGACAGATAGTATAAAGATACAAAAGTTTTGTCTTAATTTGAGGGCAACTTAATGAGTTGGTAACAATTTTCACTTACAAATATTTAGAAATAAGAGTAATGTGCAATAATTTGCCCAAA